TAACCCCCTTTCCCTACAAACCCTCCCACCACACACAAAAGCGGAACAAACCCCGCACTCACATCTTCACCCCAAGCTCTAACGACACAACATATCCAGCACCTCAGATCTAAAACACACTCGAAGCAGATAATCAACCAATCAACATCCATCCAGTGCAATGCAACTAAACAGCTAGCTTCCCAAATCCTAATTCACCTAACAGTCTTAATTCCTCAAAAAAAAATAAAACACAGATTGAGCACCAGAAGATAAAGACTAAGCAAGCAAGCAACAACAACCAATGAGAGCCACACGCATCTATAAACACGAACAAAACGCAGCGTGTCGTAAGCAATCCCTCTAAGAAGTGAGAATAATTAGGTCACACGAAAAGTCAAAATGATGAGAGAACGGAATCATCCACAAACAGCGAGCGAGCGAGCGAGCGAGAGAGAGAGAGAGAGGAAGAGGTTGATTATTGCGTTGGAAAACGTAGTTAGAGGTACATTCTGATTCTGTGTAGAGTGTAGGCACGTAGCACATCCAGAGAGGCAGGGAGAGGGGGCTCACCGGCGTGGGAGTTTCTGGCGGGGCGGCGAAGGGCGGATCCCGGCGAGGGGGAGGAGGGGCGGAGGCGGGGCTTGAGGGGACGATCGAACTTAGCGCTTCCCCTTTGGACGCCGTTGCGGTTGGACGCCATACTGCGTGGAGAAGGAGGACGAAGAAGAGAAACAACAACAACTGAAGAACTCCTGGTGGGCCCCACCGTTACTTGATGGAGTAAGAGAGAGAGTGTGTGGGGGTCATAGTGGCGCCCCTCTCTTCACAAAATTTAGTTTCACCTTCTCAAAAAAATATATATATATATATATTATTTTTCCAATTTTATCCAACAAAAACTAAAAATTGAAACCCGAAGCAGTAGGGTTGATCCACACTTAAGCAAGGTCAAGGGTTCGAATCCTGTCTTGTATATACAACTGCATTAAATCTTGAAGTCAGTTATCTCATCCTTTGAGGTGCCTCCAACGAGAAAATTAGTCACTGTTATCGGCCCCTAAATACTCTATGGACGAAAAAAAAAAACTAAAAATTGAACCAAAAATTCTAATAACCAAATTTAAGCCACCTATATTCTTGGGAACTGGCATTTTAATATTTTATTAAAAAAAATTAAGCTTTATTATTTAAAATAATTTAATTTTTTTAATCTGGTTTTTAAGATACTCATTAAAAACTTAACAATATTACTACAAGTGACAATTTATGATTGCATAATAGCATAAATAACATTCTAATTAATTTCATTTTAGAAGAAAATATGTTTTATTTTATGACGTCATTTTATGTAGTCTTTTTCTTCTAATGTGAAAACATGAATTGAATTGTGAATTTACTTATTTTGAATAAAAAAAACTCGAATAATTTTGTTTAATTATGTTTGATGACATTTTATTCTTAATATGGAAGCAAAAGTTTGACCTTAACGCTTATGAATGAGGTGAGTATAAAAAGTTTCATGGATAATAAAAACATATTAAATTTATAAATAAATAAAAAAAAATGAAAGAATGTGATTGATAATATTTGTGTGTAATGGTGTTGTAATTACTAATTAGTGTTTGGTAAGAGTGGGATTGGTGCCGTTGGTCGTTGGGGGCGTTGGAGCATAGGGAGTACGGAATTTAATGTCATGTTAGTGTTACACACTCTCATGTTGGAATTCAAATAATCAATTTATAGAATATGTTATGGGGCCGTGTTTATTTTCCCGTTACAAATTTTCCAACGATTGTTATATTATAAAAGATTAAATATGCTTTTAGCTTTCAATTTTATTTTTAATTTCTTAAATTTAAAACTATTATGTTTAATTTCTGTAATTTTTAAAAAAATTTATTTTAATCTTTTAATTTACTAATAATATATCTAAAAATGACAAATTGAGATAGTTATATATTATTATACAAGTTTAATGTGATACTTTTATTAATAAGGATACCGATAAATAGATTATATGCGATAATATTTGATAAATTTTTTATAAAATTTAAATATAAAAATTAAAATTGTATTTTTTTCCTTAAATTATAGAAATTAAAAAAAATTAAATTTAAAAGATTAAAAATAAATTTACCTTAAATTTGAAAAATTAAGAATATATTTAAATCTAGTATAAATCAAATTTAGATTAATTTGATTGATTAATTTTGTTATAAAATTGAATGAAAATAATTATAATTAATTTTTAAACTGAAATATTATTGTTAAAAAAATATTTGTTAATATACTAAAGCTTATTTAACATATTAATTATATAGATAGATCAAACTTTCATTACGTGTTTATTACAATTATTAGATTTTTAATTTTGGACAAATATGATTAGTTGACAACTATTTTTTATCTTTAAACAAGTAAATTTATATATTTTAGACTAATTTTTTTTTTTATTTTGGTTTTGTCTTTTTATAAAAAATTAGCTTTTTATTTGATTAAGTATTTATGGTTATGTTTATTATACAACTTCATTATCATATTTCAAGTAAAAATATTAATGAGATATATAAAATTATACGGTAAAAAAAGTTACTCCATGTATCGATTAAAATATTTAAAAATAAAGAACATTTTTAGTTTGTAATGATTTTAAACTTTATATAAAAAAAAGTAACATTTATGGATTCAAACATCAAATATATAAGAAATTGTTTTTTAATTTAAATCAAATAAATTATATTTATTTAAGTTAGTTTACGTAACACTATGTATTTTGATTATATTTGTCATTTTATTAAAATATTTGTTGTTGTGATTTATTGAATAATTATTGAGAAATTTAAATAATTTAGAAATATTTACGAGTTTCAATCGTTAAACAAAGTTTAAGTTTGACATGTTAAAGAAAGGTATATATAAAAGGTAGTTTTTAAGAAGTGAACCTTATAAGTGTATTTCTTTTATATAAAAAAATTAAAGAAAAGTTAAAAAGGAGAACTTTAGAACTTGAGGAGAATCGCTTTTTCTTTTGAACCCACAAATTTCTTCCCTCCCTTCCCTAATAGTGGATCTTGCGGTTGTTGGTGTGATTCAGAGCTTCAAAGTCGAGAATCAAAGAGTCAGTTGTTGTACAGAGTTGGTTGAGAGAACTTTGTTTCCTTCTTTCCTTGATTTTACTAGGATTATAGACAAAGGAAGTTAGGACTTAACTCATTGACGATTTTATGTCCTTGTATGTTGCCAAATCGTCACTAAATTCATGGTTTTGTTAATGTTTGAGATGGAAAATTGAAAGTGGTGAGTTTTGGTGTTGTTGAGAGTGTTGAGATGAATTTGGTGCTTTTGGTCATATTGTTAATGAGTTTTTACACATATTTTTTGTTTGCATGATAACCCTAAGTTATTATATTTATGTTTTTTGTTGCTAATAATTGAGTTATAAAGTACATGGACTTACCAAGTTGTTACATTTTAGATTTTTTGTAAAAAATAAATTTTATAACAATTCACTATAGTTACTATACTTATGGATCACCAACTAACACTAGAAAATAACTAAATCTACCTAGGATTACACATAAGCAATTTTTGAACATGCAAGGGACAATATATATAAACATATATATAACTAAAATAAACAAGTATATCAGTATATATATATATATATATATATAT